AGAATTTTGTAGTTGTGCACATATTTGAATCAACTCTCGACTTCAACGATCTTGACACTCGCACAGTTTTGGTTTTAATAAACTCGAGTATGAAGCGAGTTTAAGCTTTTATACTCTCCAGCGGCGTCGACGGCCAATGGCGGCGCACGCAGCGTTGCAGAAAAAAAGTTGAATTCCGCGTGCGTGTGTGTGTGAGTGAGTGTGTGCGCGCGATCGCTGCTTTCGTATGCTTCATTTTATTATTTTGTTGACTTTTTATATTCGAATTCTTGGCCAGCGAAATATGTACATACAGAAACGAAACGACGACGGAATGAACATTTTGCATCTTTCGATCGTCGTTTATATTGGCAATGGCGATGGCTCTGCCGACATCGCGACTGCGCTGCTGCTGCGGTTGCTTCTGCTGCACACACGCACACATGAATATGAGTTACTTGAGCATCATTTTGTTTTGTGTTGTTTTCGGTTGCTGTTTTTTCTTCGCTTTTTGGGCAATTGTTTTGCTTGTTTTTTTTTGGTGATTTTACACACACATTGATATCTGTTCTTTCTGCAGCCTGCGTCGCCCACTCTCCCCATTGCCAGACGTGTCGTTGTCGTTGCCGTTGCCGTTGTCGCTTCTGTCTCTCCTCTCTCTTTCTATCTTGCCGCGTATTGTATGATGCGTTTGTATTTGTGTTGTTGTTGTAGTTGTTGCTGTTTTTTTCTGTTCTGCCTTGCATGGGTGTTGTCTGCCTTTTTCTGAGGGCGCAAATTAAGTTCGACTCATTAAACCGGTCAGCTAAAATAAGGCAGCATCTGAAACTTAAGTGAAAAGCAGTTCATCAAGGAATAAACAACAAATTTCCTGCTGTTTTTCTTGTTGTGGTCACTTAAGCGTTTTGCAACAGTCCCCAAGTTATTGACCGACTTTGCTGTAACCCGAGCACATGAAACTTAATGCCCTTTTTTGAGTAACCGAGGAGAATAAGCAACCGGAGAGGCGCCAGATGACATACCAACACTTGCGGGCAGTTTAACGGTTAGCTGGGCAATGTAACTGTTCAGCTTAAGCAGCGAATAGGACATTTTTCTCTTCTGTTATCAAACCATAATTATTGAAATTACATTTATGTATCAGCTGGTATTTCGAATGTGTGTACATATGTACATACATACATACATACATATGTATGTATTCATGCACATCGTGTGAATGTGCCCAAAACGACAACAGTAAAGTTGATAAATCAACTTGAACTCTCTATGCACGCGCTGGTTATGATTAAATACAATACATATGCATATATGTATACATATGTACATAGGCTTATGCACGTACATATGTACATGTGTATATCAGTCGTCGTTCCTGTTTTATCATGCGATCGAATGCAATGAACTTAACGACTTTGCGCTTGTTTCTTTTAAAATAAAAATAATATACGAATTTAAAACAAGAGAGCTCTAGTCGAGAGTGCCCGATTGCAAGATATTCTCGGCATAGCTTCGAACTGCCGTTACTCACATGTATACATACATACATACATACATATACATATATGTAGAGTTACAACTCTCCAGAGATTACATGTTTTTGTCCTGCTGAGGAATGTTTTACAATTTTCAACTTTGTTATAATAATATAACAAATCAGATTGAGAATTACAATTTTGGCCGTTAGCTGAACTTTTACTTGATATATTCTTTAGAGTCGGATATGTTGCCTGTTACATACATTTGCACAACTAAATTATACCCCTTTTACTCACATACAAGTGCAGGGTATATAAATAATAAAAAAAAAAGAAGCAACAAACAAAAGAAATTCTTTGTTTACGGCGTGTCCAACCTGTGTAGAATAAGCGATCAGAAGAGCGAAGTCTCCGGCTGCGTCTCCGTCTCTGTCTACGTCTCCGGCTGTTGTTGACGCTTCAATTGGGGCGCAAATTGCAAAAGCCACAAAATAAAAAACCCAAATTGCAGCCCAAAACCAGAGAACATCAATTTTTGGGTGAAGAGTTTGCATTGAGTTCATTGGCATCGAGTGTGGCTTCATGTAGAATTTATTTATCACTTGAAATATTTTGCTAACAAATTGCAGTCAATGACATTGCTCTCCGCACAAATACTTACACACAAACACAAGTGTACACTCATGCGCACACAGAAGTTTTGGCAGCGGATGTGCTGCGCCTGTATGCGTGGGCAGGAGATAGAGCAACGGGCGGGCGGAAAGGCAGAGAACAACAACAGGTCACGCAGGCGTGCTAAAGTTTATTCATCTCGCCCAAAATGCGCAGCAGCTTCAAAAATCGTCAGCAAGTCTGAATTTGAGGCAAGAAATAAATGGATTGAATGATGATAGGAAGGAGAGAGAGGGAGAGAGAGAGAGAGAGCGGCTCCTGCACACTTGTGCAAAGCTCAGACGACGACGACAACAACAACAACATCAAACTTTTGGTTAGCTACTTTCCGAGTTGGCAATGTTGGGACTGATATAACAAAGGAGGAGAGAAGGGAAAAAAAGAAGGAGAGTCTACAACAACAACAACAACGGCCAGCAAAAATTGTTTAATTATAAATTGTAGAAAAAGCAAAATAGTCAAGCAAAAGAAGGCAGCGAGCGTGCGAGCGAGATGGCGATACGTTTTTGTTGAAGGACACACACGGTCTTTAAAAGTGAGTAATGCACTGGAGGTTGTTGACTCTGTCTCTGCCGGTTGTTGTTGTTATTGCGTTTTTTGCACTGCCCGCTGCCCACACACATACATACATATGAAACTGTGTTTGTGTGTGTGTGTGTGTTGTGTAGAATCTTTTGTTATGCGTTTTTATTTTTTGGCGCTGTCGTTTGATAGCAGCCGCTTATTTCGCTCTCTCTCTCTCCCGCTCTCTTTCTCTGCGTGTGTGTGAGTGTGTGTGCAAAGTCAAAGTGATTAAACTTTATGCGCAATTTATTTTGCATTCACATTCACCACACAAAAACACAACACAACAACAACTGATTGTTTAATTTTAACTTAACGCGCACAACAAAAAATAGCTGTAACAGGTTCGGGCTAACGACACGTATACGTAATTTTATGAGTTCAAACAGTTAATTTGGCAATTGCATTTGACATTTGCCTAACTTGGCTTGGGATTTGGCAGTTATGATATTATCTAAATGAATTATTCTTGTCGCAAAATCATATTTAGCTGATCTACAGGGAAATCTCTACGGACGGAAGGGGAGCGAGAGACCTTGGCTTAAATATACATTAAACAAGCCTTTCTATGCAATTCTCATTCGGTTGTCATCTGGCTGTCAAATGACACAACCGCAAGGAATTCGCGTGCTTTCCGGCTCAAGTTAATGCCACACTTGCAACTGTGGCAAGTCGCACGAGGCAGGCAACATGTGTCCAGATGCGGGTGTCAAAAACGTTTCCCAAGCTGACTCACTGCCGCATTTCTGCCTAGGGCTGCAAGAGTTGCAGTTGCGGTTGCGGTTGCGGTTGACAACCAGCAGACGCCATATCCAGACTTCATATACTATATAATCTGTATGTGTGTGCGTGTGTGTGTGCGTGTGCGTGTGTACTTTGTTGTATGTGAACAGATGCGCACAATATGGTGCATTAATTTTAGCTCCTGCCGGACGACACAGGCCAGGGACACAGTTGCAGTTGTTGCCGTTGTTGTTGCAGTTGTTGCCGTTGTTGTTGTTGCAGTTGTTGTTGTTGCCGTTGTTAATCGTCTTGACAGTCAGCCTCGTCGTCGTGCGTGCTGCTCCAAGGCCAGTGCAATATTTTACACTGTATAACGTCGCTTCTCGTCGTCAGTCGCCGACTTCCGTCAGCGTCTCCGCCATCCGCATCAAGTCGCCAGTCCCACCACCCACTCCACCCCCCCCCTCCGCCCCCGCCGCTGCCGCCGCCACTGGAAGTGCGTCATATTCGGATAGCTGGGAACGTGAACGGGAATGGGAATGTACAAATATTTTAGCTGGCGCTGCATTTCATGGCTGGCGTTTCATTTTTCGCCTTGACGACCGTCTGTTCTTTTATACCCTGTAACCATTTAAAACGACTGAAGAAAAGGGTATAATGTATTTAAGTGGCAGCAGGAGGCAACTCCGACTGTGTACTGTTTAATACCCTGTATTGCAAATGACTGAAGAATAGGGTATAATGTGTTTAACTAGCAGCAGGAATGAACTCCGACTGTCCTTGTCCGTATTTCCCTCTATCTAGATAAATTGTAGTTAAAATGTATCGAAACCTTTCCTGTTTACGCAAAATCGATAAATATCGATTCTAGGTTTTGCAAGAGCTGGATGCAATCAGTTTTAATTGTATATTCTAGGACAGTATTGCACAGATTTTGAATAATTTGCATTTCGTATATCATTCCTAGTCTATGCGGAGTACAAATGTAACTGGCTACAGGGTGTCTGCTAGTCGGGTAGCCTCATGGTGCTAGCTGTTACCATTGTCAGCTTAGCCCTCTATCCTGTCTGCAATTTGTAAATGCTTATGCTCATTTAACAGATCAATTTTATTATAGAATTATCGAAACCTTCCCTGTTTTTTTGCGAAATCGATAAATATCGATTGTTATCGATTAGTCTAGGTTTTTAGGGTATTTCGACGATTTAAAGAGCTGAATGCAATTAGTTTTAATTGTAATTCGAATACCATCTCTAGTCTATGTGGAGTACAAATTTAGCTGGCTACAGGGTGTCTGCTAGTCGGGTAGTTTTTCTGTTAGCATTGTCAGTCGCCCACACGGAATCACGAATGAGGCAAGCTGCTCGGATATCGAAACTGAATTTTCATCGTAATTATGGATTTGATCGATTCACACTGTGATTCATTAGGGCTTCGGATTTAGGGCCTTAACTGATGCGACAGACGAGCACCGCCAATAAAGCTAGGGTATTATGTTCCGTTCATAATTAAACAAGTCTCGATTACCGCATTAGAGAGTAACAGAAAGTTCGCATTCGCTTTGGGCCCATGGCAGGGAGCGGATGGTGCTCCCAAACACGAATTCCTCCTTTAGAATGAAGTGAAATGGGGTAGCTTGATTTGCTCAGTTTACTGTGGAACTCGAGTCAGGATCGATTCGTAATATAAGCACATATATTTTCTAATTGTAAAGCAAAATGGAAAACCAGGATAATTTCCTGCTATCGAAGTGAGTAGCCTTGCCGCCCATCTAAGTATTATTCCTCCCCATGTTTCCCTGAGTATCTTGCAGTTTTTACTTTCTGGGAACCTTGGGCATGCTCCTTACGGTGATTATTCTAGCGGTGCCCGTGCTGCGACACAAGCTCCGTATACTGCTGGCCAAATTCCATTGCAAATCGATAAACTACACGCCGATAACCTATTTGAAGGATGACATTTTGAACCACGTCTCGAGGCGGCGTCTCCGGCTGGTGCGGCGCAAGACCCTCATCCTGGACATGGACGAGACGCTGATAGCATCTGTGATACTCTACCAGGCCAAGGCGTCGGAGTCCGTGCCAGCCTCTTGTGATTACAGGGCTCGCAAATACAAGGCCAAGTCCATCCTGGTGGCCACGCTCCCCTACGACTTCTCCTTCTATCTGCCCCTGTCCGGAGCGAGTGTCTATGTCTATAAGCGACCGCATGTGGATTTCTTTCTGGATCGTGTGTCCAAGTGGTACAATCTGGTGGTCTTCACGGCCGCCACGGAGATGTATGCCTCGAGGGTGTTGGACTTTCTGGACGCGGGTCGGAATATTTTGACACGGCGAATGTATCGCCAGGATTGCATCAACATCTGCGGCATACGGGCCAAGTTTGTGTCCATAGCGCACAGCGATCTCTCCAATGTGCTGCTCCTGGACGACTGTCACATGGAGAACAGCTTCAATGTGGGCAACGCCGTTCACATCAAGAGCTATCGCATCGGCAGCAAGGACGACGAGCTGCTCCGCATGCTGCCCTTCCTCGATGCCCTGCGATTCACCCAGGATGTGCGCTCAATTCTCGGACGTTGCACCCGCTACGATTGCCTCACAACATGCCTGGCCACCCACTATTGTCTAGCCAAGGCAGCCGAGTCCGAGGCGGAGGATGTCAAGTGTCTATAACCAAATGCTCCCGATCTACTTTAATGGGCACATACAAACATCTTATCTATGTCGCAATTCGTTTGTTTTATTTCCCCCTCTCTCTTTCTCTTGCTCTTCATCCAAGTCAGGTTTAGTCATCCAACGTTTTATTAGTCACTGGCCAAGTGATTCACTAGCGACAACGACTTCGCCTTGTGCAAGGTTGCTGCCCTATCAGCCAACTATTAATCGAGCCCATTTTATGCAACAAGTGAAGAGTGCTCCGATCAAGGGCACTCGACTTGGAGATACTCTACCCGACACGGAGTTGTCGTATCATAAATGCAAATTTAATTGGCAATTAGGTGGGAACAGTTGGAGAGATCATTACCCAATATGGTTTCTCTTTATCTCTTATAAAAATCGATATTTATCGATTTTGGGGTAAACCTAGGAAATTATCGATAATTGTAAATAAATATGCAAATCGATTTATCGATTATGGGAAAAGCAGGGAGATTAACAATAATTTTACATAAATATGATGTCTTTATCTCTTATGAAAATCGATATTTATCGATGTTAAGATAACCAGGGAAATTATCGATTATTTTACATAATCTGAAAATCATTTTTGCAGTCTCTAGCTCTTATAATTTACGAGACATGTTTCAATATGGTGTCTTTATCTCTTATGAACATCGATATTTATCGATTTTTGGTATTTCTGGAAAGTTTTCGATAATTTTACAAAAACTGAATACTCTAGCTCTTAAAATTTTAAGACGTTTAATATGGTGTCTTCTGAAAATCGATATTTATCGATTTTGGGAATACCTGTGGATCTATCAATAATTTTATTATGAATATCACATGTGCAGTCACTAGCTATTTGAATTTCCAAATTATTTCGAAAAACTTAGGCTAAAACATTTGTATCAAGTTTATTTCAAATTATCGATTGGTTTTTCGAGCACTGATAATTTCCAAGATAATTCAAAAAACAGTTAAATAAACCTGATGCTGATGTTGATACCGTGTAGTGGAGTTGGAAATGAGTCCTTTCTCCTGCACTATACCTCTTTCCTCCCAATAGGAATGATATACATATGTATATGATATATGTATCTACTAGGTTAGGAAGATACCTTTAAGTTAAGGCTAAACCTTCGGAATCTTAAACATATCCATGGATCTATTTTTCATTTATTGAATTTTGAAACCAATTCCGAGACTGGCTGGCAAAATGTTCCTTTGTTAATCTCCATGACCAGGCGCTGGGTGCGGCAATTAAGTCACCACCAACGGCAGCGGCACCGGCAGCGGCAGCGGCAGCGGCAGCATCGTCGCCTCCGCAGCAACGACAGCAGCCACACACAAACAACAACAACACCAACAGCTCGAGGGGTGCGCGCATTTCCAGCGAAGATCATTATTGTCTCGCCGCCGCGGATGCTGGCGGCATCCAAAAAAAAAAAAAAAACAAGCTCCAAGCAGGCAAACAAGTTAATGAACCCGTTGCCGCCGCTCCGCCACAGCTAACGTCGCGGATCCTTGAACTCGAGTCGTCCAACTAGTTTGGCTTTGGTTCGGCTTTTGGCAACCAGGCTGCAACCAGAACCAAATCTGTGGCATCAATTCTCTGGAAATGATCGAAATTTCATTTCATTGCGACGGCGGCGGCAAAACTCAAAATTGAGTTCAACAGCATTCCGGTCTGGTCTTTCGGTCTTTCAGTCTGCTCCTGCGACTTGCCCCCCCCCCCCCCCTCTCCCTGTCGTCTGGAGCAGTGTTGCCAGCTTGGCTGTTTTCCAGCTAAATTCCAACTGTTTTCAGAGCTCCAAGCCCAAAAGAATTGCAATTTTCAATTCAATTAGCTATTTTTTTGCATACGAATAACAGCCCTGTTTATTGCTAGTTTCTGCTCAGACTTTTGCAACGGCAGTTGGCAACACTGCTGCCTGAAGCTGTGGCCAGACTAGTCCGATCAGCAAAAGCTAACAACCCTGTCTATTGCTTGTTGCTGCTCAAAAAGCTTATTCAGCTATTTTTAGCTACTTTTTGCAGCGACAGTTGGCAACACTCTTGTCTGGAGAGGGAGCTGTGGCCAGACTTGTGCGACTTGCTGCGACTGCGCAGCGACTGCGCTGTTAACTTTCCATTATCCTTGAGGCTGGAGTCATTGCCCCCGTCTCGCATTACACAATTGCAGCGGGCAGGCAGGAGCCGTGCATCTCGGATTCGCCTCTGGCCCCTGCCGCGCTCACGTTACACGGAACTCCAGTGGCCTACTTCCACTTGAATGGAATTAATGGGCATAGGAGTGGGTATATGGCCCGCCCGTTCGCATGAAACAAAGGCTTTTGTGCCAATGAGCAGGCCATCGGGCAACGGACAACCCCCAACACGAAGCCTCTCGATCCTGTGGCCAGCCAAAGACAAAGAAACTCATTTTGTCGCATGCAAAATTAATACAAAACAAATTCGAATGAGAGCTGACGGCACACACACACACACACACATACACACAGTCGCATATCTACATGCATGCACACATATGCATGTGCATGTGTGTGTATGTGTGTATATATAATTTTATTTTTATAACTGACCTCGAACTTTTGTGCAATGTGATTGAACTGCTACTGCGGCGATATCTGTGTGCTGCAGCCCCGCCCCCCCTTCCCCTCCTCCCGCTCCCTTCATGCAACATTTGCATGCAGACTGCATACGAATCGGTTGGAAAGCAGCCAGCGATAATGTCGCCGTTGTTGAGCTTGGAATAGGGATCGGAATCGGAATCGGGATCTGGATGCGTTTCGCTGTGACCGTTGACAAACAATATGGAAATTATTTAGTAGCCCGGGAGGGGTACAAATTCGAATGGCAAATGGTTAATGGCTGATGGTTAACGCGAGTGCATTGCCTTTAAGGGGGGGGGGGGGGGGGGGGGGTGCAGCCGACGACAACGTTAAATGCATAATAAATGCGCGTTTCAAGAGGCTTGGAAAATAAAATGCGTGCTGCGACTGAATTGCACTTTCAATGAGCTAAAACAAAAAGCAGAACAGGGGCAAAATAAATGCGAGGAGCAGGCGATAAGAACCGCAGCGAAAAAGAAAGAGAGACAGCGAGTAAGAGTGTGTGGGTTGGGTGGAAGTGAAGAGGGGAGGGACGGGCGTAACTGTGGGAAGACCATTGCAATAGAACCCTTGACTAAAGCAGGCCGGTATCGAACACGCCCATCTCAAAAAAAAAAAAAAACAAACAAATTTCATTGACATTTGTAACGTATTCAGCACTGGCGTTGATGAAAACAAAAGAGAGAGAGAGAGAGAGAGAGAGCACAGGGTACAGTTCTTTATCAGAAATACTCGATGCTTTTCGGTATCTCTGCTGCTGTGCAAATATTTAATATAGTTTTTGCTTTGTTTTCTTTTTAATAAGAAATCAAATAACAAAATAAACAAACACAAAGTAAAAAACGGCAGAGGCGGGTAAACCAACCTGAGTTAGGGGTATTCACTGGACACCGATCTATCGCATTTAGCGATGTTTAGCGTACGATAAATCGGAATGATTTGATTCTGTTTCGTCTGCGTGAACAATCCTGTCTAAGAAACAGAAAACCTAAACAAATATTTTTATTTTTATAATAGATAGTTAATTAGTTCTTTTTCTAAAAAGAATCAATTCAAAATATTGTTGACATCGATGCAGGCTTCCTCTGTATTACAAATAATTTATTTTAAAGTGGAGACCCCTAGCTCGCTTGTAGAACCCCCTTAAGAGTACGCCACTGAGCAACGGCAGCAGTGAGCACGAAAATGTTTGGCTGACGTCATTTGTCCTTGAATTCGTTTATTTGCCGCAAAACAGAATTTGCAAAATTCAATGCACTTGGCAGCAGCGGCAAAAGCCGAAAAGAACGAAGTTGAGAAACGCCAACAACGCCAGATAACATGATGATGGCGCGAGAGAGTCCAGAGAGTGAAAGCGAAAGAGCATAGCTGAAACAGAATCTGTGAGGTCTGTACACATATTATCTCATTAATAGCAAATTAATAAGCAACACGTTAGTCATATAAGACTAATCAGTCTGATTACGTTTTATTAGAACAACACATTACTTCTTGTTACAACGTGTTTTTTAATTAAATTCAAGATAATTATAGCTGTCAGTTTCGCATCGATGTTCAACGATGCTGATGGCTTAAAGCTCGTTGCTACGAGACGCACGCCAGCCAAGTAAAGTTTTAAAAATGTAAATTATGGGATATAGCAATACCGATTGGAAATCATTTTAGGCTTTAAAGAATTTTGCAGTGTTAATTAATAATTTCCATCAGATCAGCTAAGTACTAAAACCAATACAGACAGTAAAAATTACGCCAGATTCGCCGAAAAATACTATCGCTTGCAAATACTATCGATACTATCGACGATATTTCGCTAGGTTGCAATTCAATATTTATCGTTAACGATAAAGCATAAAGCAAAGTAAAGACTTGGTTAAAGAAACTCATTTAAGCAAAACTGCAACTGCGACGCCCGCTACAAAAAAAAACGTGTCGCTGCATTTATCATACGCGCAAAGCCAACACGAAATTCCGGCAATCAAGCGATAAACGTTTACAAATAAATGTAGTCGCAACACGCAAATTAGCCAGCTAAAGTTGTAAATGTATTGGGAGCAGCGCCAGTGCCAGGTAAGCTTCTCCGCCCGCAAACACACAGCTTTATTTTGCCTGCCATTGCCCGAGCCATTGTTCTAGACTTGTCGAAATTAACATTTTTGACCAGTTTGTCAGTCGCACTCAAAACACATCACATGACTAAGAAAAAGAGCCCCAGATACGTTATCAACGTTTTATCTAGTTTAACTGCGTTCGCCCTTTGCCCTGCTGTGCGCAAAAACAAACAAACAAAAAGAAACAGCAATAAATTGAAAAATACAGCAAAACGCAGAATCAAAGGTTGCTAACAATAATAACAAAGTGTTTCCTTTGTTTTGTTAATGTTTTGCAATCAACTTTGGCACCCTTATTTGAGCCGGGCAATGCCGGTTAATAGCCTTTAGTCTAACTGTCAACTTATCCCTTTATCTCTGGGCACACAGATAATCAGCGCCAACTGATAAGCGACCCACTGAGAGCAGATGGGACAGACACTTTCCGAGCCGGTGACCGCCAAGGAGTCATCGTATTGCCAGAATCAACAGTATCGCGTCGGCAGCAGCTGCATGCAGGGATGGCGCATCAACATGGAGGATTCGCACACACACATACTCGCCCTGCCGGACGACCCAAAGGCGGCCTTCTTTGCCGTCTACGACGGACATGGCGGCGCAACAGTCGCCCAATATGCCGGCAAGCATTTACACAAATTCGTGCTCAAGCGGCCCGAATACAATGAGAATGATATTGAGAAGGCGCTTAAACAGGTAAGAGAAACACCTCAGGGCCCAATTATAATGCATAATTCGGTTAACAGTTCGAACCGGCGTCCTGCCTTTCACATCCATAAGCCCAGCTTTTGATTGAACATCTAATTTTTCATATTTGGTTGGATTAATCTATAATTGGGGTTCAAGTTATTTCTGCTCAAAGCTGCAAAGCCCAAAAAGTGCATAATTTGAACCGGCTTCCTGCCTCGAGCAACTGGCTTTCCACATCCATAAGCCCAGCTTTTGGCTGAACCTTTATTTTGTCGTTTGTACTTGGATTAATCCAATGGTTGTATTTCTGCTCAAAGCTGCAAAGCCAAAAAAGTGCATAATTCGAACCGGCGACCTGCCTTGTGCTTTTTTTCGTGCACCTACATAAACCCAGGACTTGGTTGTACATTTAATTTGTAATATTTGCTTGGATTAATCCAATGGTTGGGGTTCAAGTTACTTGTGCTCAGGGCTTCTAAGCCCAAAAAGTGCATAATTCGAACCGGCGACCTGCCCTGCAATTTTCTTCGTGCACCTGGCTTTCCATATCGATAAACCCAGCTTTTGGTTGTACCTTTAGTTTGTGATATGTGCCTGGATTAATCCAAGGGTTGGGCTCCAGTTTATTGTGCTCAAAAGTGCTTTATTCCGCATCAAAAACAAATTGTTCCGTTCGTGTCCGTGTTCAGCTGTGTTTCGGCAACCAATTTAGTTAAACGTCCCACATCTGTTTAAACAACAATCGGATCATCGCCCTTGGAACACATCACTCAATCATCATCTCTCTCATCTCTCCACATCACTCAATGATCATCTCACTGGAATTTGTAGGGTTTTCTGGACATAGACTATGAGATGCTGCACAATGAGTCGTGGGGCGATCAAATGGCCGGATCTACGGCCGTCGTTGTGCTGGTCAAAGATAATATGCTGTATTGCGCCAATGCCGGCGACTCGCGGGCCATTGCCAGCGTCAACGGGCAGGTGGAGACGCTATCCGTGGACCACAAGCCGAACAATGAGGCGGAATCGAAGCGCATCATCGAGGGCGGCGGCTGGGTGGAATTTAATCGCGTCAATGGCAATCTTGCACTCTCCCGTGCGCTGGGCGACTTTGTGTTCAAGCGGGCGAACAAAAAGCCGGAAGATCAAATAGTCACAGGTAAAAATATATACACGTACGTACACAATAAACATTGTTAACACCTTGTTGTTGCTGTTTTGCAGCCTACCCGGACGTGGAGACGCGCCAAATAATGCCGGACTGGGAATTTATTGTGCTGGCATGCGATGGCATTTGGGATGTGATGAGCAATGAGGAAGTGCTGCAGTTCTGTCGGTCGCGCATCGCCATGGACAAGCAGCCGGAGGAGATTTGCGAGGAGCTGATGAACCATTGCCTCGCCCCCGATTGCCAAATGGGCGGCCTCGGCGGCGACAATATGACCGTTGTCCTTGTCTGCCTGCTGCACGATAAGCCCTACAGCGACCTGGTTGCGCGCTGCGCCAGCAGCAGCAGCAGTCGATCATCCAGCGGCCCGCCAGATGTGAACACGGAAACGTCGCCACCGGCGCCGACAGCAGCAGCGGAAGCACCTGTTTTGTCGTCGTCCCCGTCGTTACCCCCGCAATAAACTTGTTGTCGAAACCAAAGCGAAAAGTTCAACAATGCTAGTGACTGCTTTTACTCTGTTTGTAATACCCATGCAAGATATTGTATTATTATCCATCTAGTATTTTTCGTACCTTTAGATTGTGCTCTACTCTATTAAAGCTCTTTTCATATTTTTTCAATAACTCGAAGTCCGCTCGGATTCGTGATACACTCTATAAAATAGATTGGAAGCGAACTTTTTTATTATTTTACAACCCAACCTTTTTAATTTTCCCAAACTTGGTCAAATTTTCGAATTGGATTTGTTGAATGATCCGAAAATCGGACTTTAAATACCCAAAAAAAATTCCCATTTTAAAACTTTTTCAAAAAAAAACTTTAAATGTAAATAACTTGGTTAAGTCCGATTTCGGAAAGATCTGTCGTTTTGTACTCATGAAACTTTCTACAATAGATTGGCATTGAAAATGTTTGAACCAATCGTTGGTCGAGTTCAAAAAGCAATATCATTCGAAAATCAGGCTACATATACCCGAGATATATTCCAAATACACAAAACATTTTCTAAACACTTGGATAATATACATATATATATATATATAGATAAGTAATATGTAATTGTATAAAGGAACATTTTTTGTAGTGCGCGGAAAAATCGTTGTAAATTCCATTTGGGTAAAAACGATTTAACTTCGGATCGATCCAACATAGTCATGCTAGAGGCCTTTTTACATCGCAATAATAATGATACGAAAAACTGAAATAAACAAATTAGAAAAAACACCAAAATTTCGAGCTGTTTTGGGGGAGTTACGAGAGAGGTTGCTTCTGCTATATATATATATATATAGAGATCGGGCCCGCTAGATCACAAGATGTTCGAGAGTTGTGTACAGCATTTAAACTGGCTGTTTATTGTTTTTTTTTTTTGGTTTTTATTGGTTGACATGTTTTCATAATCGTTTCGATTTCCATTTTCCATTCGATCTTCGGCTAACTACATTTAATTAATTTTTGTTTTCTTGGTTTTTTCTTTTTATTTGATTCTCGTTTATGATACATACAATAAAATAAAATATGCATTTATGATTTTTGTTTTCGGTCTCATGGTGTCATTAACTTTCCTATAGCTTTAGATGATTTTTAGTTTTTTTCAGTTATAAGAGCTCGTATACTATTATATAAAGCGAGCACAATTTTCACTCCCAAGTATACGGAAAGAGTGGATGTTGTTCTTGTTGTTCTTGTTGTTTGTTTTCTGTCTCTCGGTGTATGGTAATGTTTAATATAATTTATGTGTATACTTCTGCATAGGGATATTGTTTAGTTATAGTTACGTTTTAGTTTATAGTTTAATCATATGCAATTTTATAAACCTTTTTTTTGTTTTGTTTTTGTTGTTGTTACTTTACATTTATCAATTTTGGTACAATTAATAATATTAATTATATACTCTTCGATTTTATTACATGTGTTTTCTATATATCAATTTCTTTAACAGACATTCTTTTTGTTTTTGTTTTGTTTTGTTTGTTTTTTTTTTCATGAATTTTCTTTTTATTTTTAGTGATAACAATGTGCGTAAGCATTTCTATGCAAGTATTTTGAACAGAAAAAAAATTGAAAATAAAAAAAATGAAAAAAAAACTCACGTTTATCATCGAAAAACAAAGTAAATGAAACCCTTCACAAGGGGCGCAGCATTAAAACAATATCAATTGATAAAAGTGTGTGAGAATATGGAAAGGCTTCTCTAGAAACTAAAACTATCTATATGAAATATTTAGATGGCAGTGCCAAAAGAATGAGAGATAAAGCAGCAGGCGTTTATTATACATGTAAGTATAGATTATAGGGTATTCCCGAACCGAGCTGATGTAAATGGTAAGCAAATGTCTTCTAACAATATCAAGCTTTCGTATTATACATTTTTCTGATTACTGAACTTAAAAGAATCCTACGAGGCAGCTGGTTGGGAATACCTCCAAACTCGTCTAGTTATTATATAATATATATAGATTTATATATATATATATATATATAAGATTGCGGCAGTGCCAAACAAAATAATAAATGGGCCAGTATCCTCTGCCGCCCTTGTGAAAGGCATATACTCTTCCAAATAATAAATAATATGGTATACATAATAATGATAATAGTAATAATAATAATAATGTCTTGAAAGCTATTTGAAATGACTCTGCACGACAATTGGATAAGAACGAAGGGTTATCTTCTTAGTTCTGGCTGGATTGTGTGTGTGTGTGTGTGTGTGTCGGGGATAGTTACATGCATATATATAGTGTATAGAGCGTGTATTATTATTACATATTACAATTATTTTTGTTTTGTTTTGTTTTTATCAGTAGTTTGTATAGTTTAACAAGGTGTCATTGTCAGTGTCATATGCGCTGCTTAAATATACAAAATAAATAACTTAAGAACTGAGGCTTTACAATAACAATTTTATTAATTTATTTGTTGCCTTAAAATTATTCAACATCAACAATGTTTCCTCTTCATCTTCATCTTCATCTTCAATCTTCATCTTCCATTATTCGTTTCGTTTCTTTTCGCTAACTCTATACCTCGCTTCTCTCTATATACTCCTCTCTCCATCGAGAACTGGCCAACCCAACAGCCTGGTTAGGGGTATTTGGCAATCAATCTGGCAATCCATATTCCCCAACCTTTTTTTATTTATTTTAATTATTTTTTTTTTTACATGCAACCAAAGAGTTCTTCGCTCTCCAAGTTGCATAATATCACACAGCGCACACGTGGCGTTTGTTGCACCTATTTGAATGCCAGCTACTCCCCCTAAGAATCCAGACTGGGTATACCGGTTCTCTAGTCCCATTTGTTACACTGTCCGTCATTCGTCGTTTCACTGTACAGTGAGAGTTGGTGGAGAACTTTGAAAACCAATTAAACAATGTATGTGTGGGTGGGTTGGGAGAAGGGCGTGATTGGGAGGGAAAGGGAGGCATACCAACTATAAGCTAATAAACTATGCTCCTTTTGTGTAGATGTGTGTATGTGTGTGTGAGTGTGTGTGTATACGCACACCACTGAGCAAGGGGCGGGTCGTCGTGGACTCGCTCTGGACGTGGACTAGCGGCAACAATTGTGTTTAACAAATAATACAACTTTAATCATACAAAATGTGCTTAGTATGGTCTACTCAGTGGAGCGAGTATATATGTATACATATAGATATATATACATAGATATAAATGTATTTAGTATAGGCACTTAGCATATTCGATTGTTTTTATAGAATCCAAATATATGTTTACTTTAAGTTAATAATATATACACATATATATATATTTATATGTATGTAGGGGCATATATATATATATATAATGTATATTATATAAAATGGGAGACACTGGCTTGTGGGAGAGGGGCTGGCTGCAAAAGAGGGGGGAGGGGGGGGGAGAGAAACACTTTTCATTTTGGTATACTATAATTATTTAGCAGTTATCTACTTTGAGAGAACTCTCACTCGAATCGAAGAAAGTCAAAAGGAACACGCTTTCTTTTTTTTGTGTGTGTATGTTTTTGGAAGTGAAAGGGCGGAGGACGCAATCCGATTGTCGAATCGAATATTTTGCCTAACTTTAAGAATATGGGATATATCTTAGCATAATCACTTAACGCTAGCATTAGCTTAGGCTGTACTGTATACATATATATTTATATATATATATATATATATATCATGTATCGTATGCGCTTAGTTCCTACATAGATTAGCTTCTGCCAATTTGTTTATGCCTTAAGATTAATTTACTTGCTTATACACTTGAACTTCAAAATCAAATTAAAGGTTTTCTCATAGCTTTATATTCCTCCGTTGCAGTTGTCTCTTGTGCGTACAAAATCATAATCGAAATTAATACGAATTAAATATTTAAAAAAAAAAAACAAGAAAGAAAATCCAACAAAAAAGCATAATGAGCATTAGTATTAAATACAAACATTTTTTTTTCTTCAACATTTTTGTGAATTTTTTTCGTTTTTTTGTGGGTCAACCAAAGCAAAAAAAAGTAAAATGTAAGAATTAATTTTACATAGTTATATATATGATTATATATATATATATAAGTATATATAATTTTAAATGCCTATTTGTGTTTGTCCTAAACCGCATAGAAATTTCACTGTATGTGTGTGTGTGTGTGTGTGTGGGCGAGTCTGTGTGTGTTTCTTTATGGCACCTTTTGCTATCTTTTTGTTTAGTTTTTTTTTTTTAGTTTATGTGTCGTTGTCTATACAAAAATAGTTTTGTATTTGTTGAGAGTAACACGAATTGTTTTAATATTAGTTATTTGTTCTGCGTTATAAAATTTGCTTTAACTTGTTTTTGGTTTTAGTTTTTCTCGAGAAATGTGTGTGTGTGAAACCATCGAACTGAGAAAATTGCCCTTATATGTGGAAGAAATGCAATTTCAAAATGTTTGCAATCATTTCCATATACATATAAGTGTACGAGAGTGTATGTGTGTGTGTGTGTGTGTGTGTGCCAGTCTGTGTCCGTGTTAACGGGTTCCTTTAGGACATGAAATAAGTACAACAAAAACTCCCAAAGGTTCGAAATAAACTAAAAAGACTTCAATGGTCGCTGCTATCAGACAAACTGATAAAGTTTATAATAATATTAAAAAAATGAAAAGAAACAAATGTTATGGGACTAGCGCATATATAGCCCGATCTATATAGGTAGAACTCTCGTATAGGCTGTGTGTGTGTGTGTGTGTGTGTGTGTGCTATAATCTATTCAAGTTTTAGCATATAAGCAAATGAAAATTAACGTTCGATAATCAACACATGATGATGAAGAACATGATTCACCGGCAATGAGTAATGGATTATTAATAATGATTAATGCTATTCTTTTTGTTGTTGTCGTTATTTAGCTAACATCCCAAACGGATGCAACTTGGCTGACTTCAATCAAACAATTTACATTAATCGTAATCGTAAACTTAACTTCCCCCTCTCTCTTTCTCTATATATATATACGCTATATATATACACGCTATATATATATATATATATATACGCTCTACCAATTCATCATCGTTGCGCTAATCTACATGTGTTTTGATGTGTGTGTGTGTGTATCTAGGTTTAAGCTAAGATAAATTAACTTTAACTGATTATACATATATAGATGTGAGAGTCTCTGCGTGTGTGTGTGTGTGTTTTCATTAATGTTATGCACCATTATTCCTTTGCCTATGCTTTATCATATTATATGATAACTGGTCCAAGCCGGTGTCGCCCCCTTTAATCTCTCCTCAGTGCGACGCCAACTCTGCAAGGGGGGGAATATATGTTAAATAATTGTTGAATGCAAATGGAACAATTCAAACTTACCTTATATATATGCCTCCTTGGTTAGCTCGTAAATATCTATAGCGCTTATAGATATAACAAAAAACGGCTTTTCTTTGTATTTACACATGGAATTTATGTACAGTACGGGGGGGGGGGGGGGGGGGGGTAACGGGGGCGGCTTCTAGCAAAGTATTCATTTTCACATTTGTCGCAGATTTGGCGACCTGCTTTGCTTCTAAGAGTTATTGGATCTCGATTTGCGACCGCTTTGATTGGCATTCGTATTGTTGTGATCAGAGGATGATCCATAGTGTTGCGGTGGTTTCTCCTTGCTCTGCTGGCGCGAGCTGCCGGCAATCTGTGCCGCATTCGGACGCGACTCGCGCTGAGCAGCATCTGTTATAAAGTGAACATAAGTTATTGTTGGTATAGATTGGATAATAGAGCCCAGAACCGGGGTTCTATTAAATAGCTCACGATTATACTTACCCTTCTCCTTTGCCTGTGTCTGCGTGCCGCCGGCGGCTTTGCCCGCCTGCGCAGCTGCGGCCGTTGGCGGCGCTGCGGCCAGACGCTTTTCAGTTGTGACAGTCGGTGCGACTTTGTCGGCCGTGGGCGTGGCTTCCAGCTCCAGCTTATGGCTGGCCGTGGGCGAGACAGCAGCGCCGTCCTTGGCCTCGGCGGCGGTCTTGTGATGCTGCGCCACCTGCGCATAGCTGAGTTTGCTAGCGCCGGTTGCGGTTGCGGCCGCGGCAATATTCTCCGTTGACACTGAATTGGGGGGGGAGGATGTGGAGGTGGCGACGCTTTTGTGTTTGTTGTTGTTGCTGGCATCTTTGCCGGTGGCGCCAGTGTTGAGCTCCTTTTTGGTGTGTTGCTGCTGCGTGTTAGCCGCGGCCGGCTTCTTGTGTTGGCCCAGACTAAGACTCGGCTCGTTGAAGCCGGTGGTGGCCAGCGTGGTTGCCACGTGGTGGATGCCACTGCAGGCGCCAGCGCCCGAGATCGGCGGCATATGCCCTATGGCCATGGGCAGTGCACCAGGCGCGGCCATGCCGCGCACATAGTCATTTGTCATCTGCTGCTGCTCGACTTGGCGCTGCTTGCCGCCGCCTTGTATTGGATGCATTTCATCCTCAGTCTTGTTTGATTTATCCAGCTGCTGAGCAGCAGCGCCAACAGCAGCTGCCTCTTCACCGGCAGCTGTTGCTGTCGTCGTCATCGTCGTCGTCGTCGTATTGTTATTGTTGTTGCTCAACTTGTTGCTGGCATTGATATTTGGTGTTATACACTTTATCACATTGATCGGGTTATTACTAGAGCTCTGCTTAGTAAAGTTTTTAGTATTGTTGCCCGCCTCAGCTGGAGCTGGAGCTGGAGCTACGACTACCATTGCGGGCGTGGGACTAATGGCCAGATTGCGCTGCTGCTGCTGCTGATAATGTTGCTGCTGGGGCAAATGCTGCTGTTGTTGTTGCTGCTGCTGCTGCTGCTGTTGTTGTAGTTGATTTGGATGTCGGTTCGGTGCAGCAGCAACGGCGGCGACGGCGGCATCCTTGCGCGCTTTGCCTTTGCCGCCCGTCCGTACGACGTCCGCGAGGCGATTCTCGGGCCAGCCAGCTGCAGCCGCCGTTGAGGAGTTGCTGGAGGAACTATGCGCATTGCTCTCGGCATGCTGATGATTGCTTGAACGCGGCTCCTCACCACTGCATTCAGGCTGATGATGGGCCTGACTCTGATTGGCCGTCTGCTGCTTGTGGCTCAGCCCGCTCGCCGATGAGGATGAGTTGCTGCTGGAGTTATGCATGGAAGCGTTGCTGTGGCTGTGATGATGATGATGATGATGTGCCCCATGTGCCGGCGCCGAGGTAGCCGGCAGCGGTGGAAAGGCGGACGCCTCCAAATCAAATTGCGGCGGCTGTGCTGGAGCCGCCGGCTGCTGCTGCTGCTGTTGTTGCTGCTGCTGCTGCTGCAGCTGCTGCTGGTGATGATGCGCATTGTGGCCCTGATAGCCCATGCTGATGCCATGGTGCAAGCCGCGCTCATTGCTGCTGCTGCCACTGCCACCGCCGCCGCCTCCTCCTCCGCCGCCGCCGCCTCCGCCGCCACTGCTGCTGCTGGCGCCAATGTTGTTCGACATGTTGCTGTTGTTGCTGCTGCTGCTAACCCCCAGCCCGCCGCTGTTGCCCACATTGCTGCCAATCGAGTTGTGATGATGATGATGATGATAACTATGGCTCGAGCTTTGCTGTGCAGCTGGCACATGATGTTGTTGCTGCTGCTGCTGCTGCTGTTGTTGTTGTTGTTGCTGCTGCTGCTGCTGCTGGGAGGGCAGCGCGCTATGGCTGTGATTATGATGATGATGATGCGACATGGACGCATGCTGCTGAGCATGATAGTTGGGATTATAATTGTTGCCCTTGTAATTGCCGCGATGCTGCGGCGGCGCCGGTTGTGCCTCATGAGTGCTGCTATAATGACTCTCGCGATGCGTCGACTGCACGTTATTCGTGGACGAGGCAGACGACGAGGAGAGCAGCTGCTGCGGCGAGCCGCCATAGATCTGCAATAAGCAATAGATGAGTAAGAAAATTCAGTTGTAAGGAATAGAGCCCTGCATCGAGTCCATGGAAAGACGATCCAGATAATCGAGTCCGATGCAGGGCTCTAGTGTGGGACTTACATTAACACGACCGCCTGGCGAGTAGTTGAGGCCGCCTTCTTCGTCGCGCCGGCGACGACGCGGACGTGTCTGCCAGTGCAGCGGCTGTGGCTCCTTGCCGCCAATGGAAGTGGCCAGCGATGATGAGGAGCTGGCCGACATGTTGCTGCGACTCGGCTGCATGCCATGCGAGCTGCCACCGTGCTCGACAACAACAACATTATCGCCGCCGCCGCTAGCTTCCTGCAGCTCAACGGGCTGTGCGGCATGCACCACCAGGTGATGATGCTGCTGTTGCTGCTGTCCAGGCTGCGGTGCCAGCGTCAACGTTGCAGTGTGTGAATTGGCGTATGTTGAGTGCGTCGAGCTGGCGGCGGCACTCGAGGAAGGCAATTGATAGTGGGTTTGCTGCTGCTGCTGCTGTGGCTGATGGTGAGCATGGCTGCTGGGCAGCGTTTGCACCTGGGTGGTGCTGTAGTGATGGTAGCTCTTTTCCAGATTCTTCTGAATGCCACCCTTCCAGTTAGTCTTGAGCGCATATCGCGTGGAGCCAGCCGAGTTTCCACTCACAATTTGTTGTTGCACCTGCTGTTGCTGGCTGGAGTTCGCCGGCTGCTGCTGTTGCTGCAGCTGCTGATGCTGTTGCACCTGTTGCACCTGTTGCTGCTGTTGTTGTTGTTGTTGCTGCTGCTGTTGTATTGGATCCACAATGGCAGCCGGCACCACGCTGATGCCACGCAGCGTCGTTGGCATGATGATGTTGCCGCTCTGGATATGCGAAGACGTCTGTTGTTGTTGTTGTTGCTGTGCATTGCGCGGCGGCTTGCTGCGCAGCTCGCCGCGCGGTCCTGCGCCGGTCAGGTTGTTCGGATTGCCGCGATTGTTGCTATTGTAGCGACCGCCGCCGCCGGCGCCGCTCTGCGGCTTATTCGTAACGATTTGTGTGGCGGGCGGTGGTGCTGTTGTAAAATTGGCAGCGACAGCCTGCGGTGCCAGACCATTTGCTGCATATATGTTGCCGCCAATCTCATAGAAGTTCTGGCCATGCGCCGCCGCTGTCGCCGCGGCCACAGTGGTCGGTTGCCACGGCATCAGGCCCGTGTAGAACGGTTGCTGCTGAAAGGGCTGCAAAAAGATTGAGATTCAATACCGGGCTCTAGTGGAAAAGATATGCGTCAATACTTACGATCAGAACCTGGCCACCGTAGGGCACCGTGGCCGGTGTTAGGGCGCCATTGCCGGCATATACAAAACGCTGTGGTGCCGCATTGTAGCTGACGGCAGCGGCGGCAGCTGCAGCGGCGCCAGCGGCAGCGGCTGGATCATATACTGCGGCAGTTGGCGGTGAGTTGAGACGATAGCCGTTCTTAATATTTGGTACAGCAGGTATTCTATTGATAAATGACTTGGGCTTGATGCGCGCCATTATGGGCTTGCCCTGAAACTCCTTGACCTCCTCGCGCAAATACTTGAAGGCCTTCTGTGCATCCTCGTCCGACTCGAATGTGATGTACCACGAGTTGTTGGCCGCAAATTCACAGGCAATCGGGCGCGGGCAGTTCTCGCTGCTGAACAGCGCCTGTGTGCAAAAAGGAGGAGAACATAAGTATGGAGAGCTTTTATATATGTTGATAATATTTTGCTAAATTGGGTGGGAGTAAGCCTCTAATGCCGGCAGAAAAAGGACGAGCCTATGCAAAGAATGTGTCAATAGATATATTTGGTATTTCCCAGCCTTGTCCCGGTCAAGTCTTGTTTCTAATTTAATACCATTTTTCACCCATTTTCCGCCCGTATGAAATTTTATTCTATACTATACACTATATACATATATATATATACTATATATACGATATATCTATACATACCATCTTGAACTTTACTTTCCAAGTTATATTTTACATAGCACACCGCATTTCGTTGCAAAGTGTGAAGCATCTCAAATTAAATTTCACAAAGATTTTCTTCTCAACTTAAGCTAACTACAGTGAATATTAGTCAGTCAGTCGAGTCGGAATATATAGCCTCATATATTTAGATGGGGCATAATCGAAAAAGTAGTTGCTCATATCTGGGAAAGAAACTGCGACCTAAGCTCGATCATTATTTTCGAGAATTGTGTGTGTGGGTAATATTGGTTGCGCGGTCATCTCTAATTGAATTTGGTTTTGGTTGCTGGGTGAGCAGAGCAGAGCGGAGCAGCCGCCGCATTACCTTGACGTCATCGAGTGGCGTGTTGTCGGATATTTCGCGCAATATGATGATGCAACGTTTGTGGTTGGGGCGCACGCGCAGACCCTCGTCATCGACCTGAACGTTGGGCGATTCGCGCAGCACCTCGGTAATCAGGTTGATGTCCTTGGTTAGTTTCTTAACAAGATTAAAATTGGCCACTGTCTTTATGAGCACATATTGATCGCTGTCCATTTGGGACACTAGATAAGTATCGGTTGCCAGATTCTCTCTGCAAAAAAGGTGTAAAATCAGTTTGTGTGTGTGCGTGTGTGTGTGTGCAGGTAGTTGTTACCTGCAAAAGTAATAGTCCAGCTGCGTGGCCAGCATCTGCTTGAGCTTGTCCAGCGGCATGCCACATTCATCGGCCGCCAGCTGCTGCTGCTGCTGCTGCTGCTGTGCGATGAGCTCGGGCTGCTGCTGCTGCTCGAGGGCAACTAAATTCGTTTGGTTAACGCCAGGTACGAGGGCCTCTGTGGTATAGCAGACGAGGTTGCCATCTTGAGTCTGAGCGATGGCTCCATTCATGATGGCGTATTCGGTATTGTCAAGAGCGTTTGCCTGAATGCTTTCCCCAGTGGACGGCAGCGGCGGCAGCGGCGGTTGCAACGGTTGCAGCGGCTGCTGAGCCGGATGACCGTACTGCAAAAGCTGTTGTCCCGGATGCGGATGAGCCTGCAGATGTAACTGGGCCGTAGCCGGCGTTACCGCCTGCACCGTTTGGATGGTCTGCGTTGATTGCTGTTGCTGTTGTTGTTGTTGTTGCTGCTGCTGCTGCTGAGCGGCGGCTGCAGCGGCAACTGCCACAGCGTGGGCGTGCGTATGAGAGATGAGCTGCTGCTGGTGCTGCTGATGCTGATGTGGATGTTGTTGTGGCTGTGGATGCTGCTGCTGCTGCTGTTGTTGTTGTTGCTGCTGCTGCTGTGAATGCTGTGCGGGCTGTGCTGTTGGGGGCGCTACTGTTCCTGTTGGTGTGCCTCCTGCTGCAGCTGCTGCTGCTGCTGTGATTATGGGTATATGAGCTGCTGTCGGTGCTGCGATCTGTGTCGGTGTGCCAAACAGGTTGGTAGCTAACATTGCCGTTTCAACAGGAACATTGGTGTAAACAGGCGGCTGAATCTTGACAGCATCTCCATTCATATAGACGTAACCTCCTGCAGTGAAAGCAAAAAAATATATTAAACTCTTAAGCAAGACGCAATTACAAATGATAAACAACAAAACAACCATTTACTACGTTCTAAGAAATTGGTCACAACTCCGAAAACCCTTCTTAGCCAAGTAAAAAAGGTAAACACGCCTATTTAACTCTTTTCAAGCTAAATTTCGCTATATTCAGGCTAAGTCTGCTGGAAACAGTTAAATTATAGATTGATTTAGCTAGTTTCTTTGTGTGCTCAGAAAGCTAATTCAGTTAATTTTAGCCATTTTTAACATGGGATTTAGCTACTTTATTGAAGCGACAGTTGGCAACACTGGCGTTGTAATTGGAAGCAGAGGCTCCAATCGGGCACTGAAAATTCAATAGGAATTGTATTGCTGGCTAGACGCATTTCTTGTGGATTTCATTAATATGCGTATGTATGTATAGTTTAATTGCACAAACAAACAAATGAACAGTCGCCGCCAGCTAATTTGATCCTAAACATAACCACAAAAGGTGGAGGATGGGGTGGGTTGGTGGCAAGGGGAGCTGCGGCTGCTACTGCAAAAAAACTTTGCGTTTTGGCCTCACCTTAAAGTAATGCAGCATACGCAATGTATGTGTTTGTATATATGTGGATGTGTTCCTATGTACTCGCCTATATGCGTATGCATCTTTGTGCATACGTATGTGTAAGTGCGGGGGCATTGTTTTGCCTCTGTATTGGTAAATGGTCATGTATGCATGTATTTATATATATATATATATTTATTTGTATGAATGTTGTATGTGCCCCGCATAATTGTTTGATTTATAAATTGAGAATTGAAATTTCTACTAACCTAGGTAATATTCCATGGTAACGTATGTTGGGGAATTGTCAAGAATTCCACACACACACAAACAAACACTTAAAGACACAACTCGCTTCTTCTTTTTTCTACTCCTCTTTCAAAAACGAACACCCGACAGCCCCAAAAACTTGCACACACGACACACACACTCACAACCACAGACTTGCACTCGCTCACTCACACTCACACACACACACACACACGCACGCACACGCACACAACACACGCGCGCTGCCTTGTTGCGGCTGCGGCTGCTGCTGCCACCCAGCTGAGACTTTTTTAGTTGGAAATTTTGATTTTCACTTTATATATTCGGATTGCATTAAACTTGAGTATGATGCGAATTACACACAATTCAGCAGTGATTTCTTCCTTCTTCCTTCACTTGATATTTATTTATTTATACTGCTGCAATTGCTGTTGGAACTAGTCGCTATCACTGTCTCCTCTCATATTCTCATCTCGACTCGTGCCTCATTCATTTTCTTCCAACTTCGACCGTTGTCGTCTAGTTTTCCGTGTCTCTGGCTTCAATGACTTAATTTTTGTTCTCATTTAGTTTTCTTTTCCGTGGCTATTTTCGCTTTTCTTCTTTGCCCTCCTTCCCTTGCTTTTTTTCGCACTCAAATATACGCAGAATAAAAATTGAAATTGGCCCGAGTACCGAACCAGCAATTGATTTTTTTTTTGTTGTTTTCTCACGTCCAAGTTGCACCACCGCACCAGCAAAATTCGTTTAAACAAAATACTTGATTGTTGCAAATGTTTTAAATAATATTTATTGGTTGTTTTCGACAACGAACTCGTCACGCGAAAATTTTTTTATAAAGCCAAAAATTTGACGTCTCATCGTTATAGAAAAACTTTCGCCCGTTCCTTTTGTCAAACGTTTCGATACACCAATGTTTGCACGGTTGCATGCGGCGAAAACACACACAAAAACCAACTGACAACTAGAAAGCGAAGCCAAAAAAACTGCAAGAATACGCGCACGCTTTTTGAATATTGAATGACACTGAGCACTATTCCTATTAAGAAATAACTATTTTGACTGCTCTGGTTCTGTGACAATTGCTAAGCACACATAATTTAGTGGCGTTGGGCTGGAACGCTGGGAACGAATTTTGAGAACCTTATAATATATTTTGCTAATTAAACAAAATGCATACGCTAGGGCGTTCAAATGTCATCAAGAATGAGTGTCACAAGATGAAACAAACACAAAAAGAACTGTACTCACCGCGTAGCGTAATATTTCGTTTGCCAATAGACCCCTTAGCAATTATTATTTTTGGTTGCAGCTCTTTTGATAGACCGTCGAATTGAATTGAAAACCACTTGTTATGTGTGTTCTAGGGCACTCGCAGCGATTGCGATTGCTAAGCGAAACACCACACGTTCCGCGTGGTGCGCGTACTCGTATTTAAAGACTTTGGTTTTTTTTTTTGAAAAAAAATTAACAAAATACACAATTTGTGCATGAATAATGTAAATTAAATTGTGATTTATGAATTACAATTTTACTGCTGCCGTCAAAACTACAATGTGTGATTGTGGTGGTCGCCGATAGGCAATGATAGTTTTCAGAAAGAATGATAGAAGTTCGATAAGTGAAAATCGATTTCTTATATTTCCGATAATAAATACCTGATATCAAATCTAGGACTGCAAAAGCACCACACCTGACTTTTGTATGAATAATATGGTCTATAAGTCTGTAAACAGGTTTATCATTTAATTTTGCATTGTATGTCATCCGAATTTAATAGGCTACTGTAAGGTTTGGGGAAATAATATTTGAATTTGAATGAAAGTGTGACCATTGTTACGTGATATCGATATATCAGACATCCATTAATATGGAGACTTGTTTATAATTTTGGTTAGATATTTAAATAATTTGTATAAAATGTTTCGTTAATAGAATATAGAAGAGATATGAAAACTGTATTATTACAGTTGTTTGTATAAAATTTAAGTCGCAGAATACCTTTCGATACTTTTCGAAATACGTCATCAACATGGCGGCTGTAAGACTGACGCCGATACAACCTTGGAACTGTTAATGGTCACCGGCCAGGCCGTGTAACTATTTAATTTTAATACAAGGATTAGTTAAAAATTACAAAAAAAACCTATAAATGATGAGTATCTTATTAAATAGTAAATATATATGAATACACTCAGATGCTTATTTAAAATGAACATTTAATTTTATTTAACTTGTAATATTAACATTGTTCGCAGTTAATGGTCTATTGCTTTTGTCTTTATATAAATGTATTTATCAAGAGTTTTAGTTGATCGGAACAAAGAACTTTAGCAAGTTTGGTATACATATAATATATATATCTATATTTATATGTGTATGTGAGTGTGTAGGTATGTGTGTAGTGTAAGACTTGTATGGAAATCCACACTTTTGTTTCTCCCTTGGCATTAGTTTAGAAGCCGTGAACTTTCAATTGATCAGGCTTCGCTAGTCCCACCTTGGTCAACCATTGGCAGATGTTTTCACGTTGATCGCCCTGCAGTTGCAGAACTTCACCATACTCTGGATGTTCAATCACAGTCCCATTGCAAGCAAATTCCTAGACATCAAAAAATTGTTTAACAAATATTCATTTGTATTTGCATTTAAAATCAATATCTGAGCATTTAGCTTGCATGCACAAACCTTTTTACAGGAGCGGACTATTTTCTTCAAGTCATATTCTGCGGATAAGCCCTGAACAGTGGTCAATGTCTTGCGACCGTTCCTCTGTTGGATTCTTATGTGCACGAGTCCGTCTTGAATATCATCATCATTGCCCTTGATTGCATCAGCAAAGGGGTCTGAAATATAAACAAACATATATATATGTATATATATATGCATGAAAAATCTGTAATCACACCCGTGCTGCATGCCCACGTCCCATTTACATAAATATGTACGTATGTATGTAAGTTCACATTGATGACTAGACTAGCCCGTGTCAGCAGCCATTTTATGTGTACATAGTACATACATACATGCATGTGTAAATTACGAGCTGCAAGTGTATTGGGTGGAAATGAAAACGTGCGTTGTCCTTACCACGAGTGTTTAAATTCTGGATGGACATACGACAATAAAAAGAAACCACAGCCTAAAACAAAAACTGTCTGAAACGTTTTAATACAATTCTTTACTTGAATTTAACTGTAATTTAACTTTTTTTTGCGAATAGAGCTTCGGAAATGTGTCTGACAAGTAGAGATGGCTTCAGGTATCGATACAGCACGCATACGGCGATGGCCTTTGCGGTGTATCGATATAAGCTGTTTAGCAACCATGTACGCTTAATCGCAGCCAAGTTCACCATGCGCGGTGTCTGCCATATTTCTTTCCTGCTTGTCTTTCAACGAGAAAAGGTAGGCATTTTGCATTTTGTCTTGATTTGGTTAAGTTATAGCTTACATAGCGTAGTGAACAACACAAAAATATGGCAGTTATGCAAACTGATTCAGTTGCGCCTTATTAAGAACAGCAATGGCCGCCAATGCGAGTTATATTGGAGGTAAAATTTTGTGTTAAACCCCACACGTGTATGGCGGCTGCTAGCAGCCCATTCTATGATGAACGATTTTGGCAGAAGAGCTCTTGAAGACTATATTCATCACCCAAGACTGAAGAATCCGTTTAGAAGCCAGCTTTTGGATTGTTGTGGAACCACGTAACTATATTTATACCATTTTCTCATTTCATGTGCGCCCCCCAATGTTGCTGCCCTGCCTTGCCTGTGTGTCTTGCTGCATTGTGGCGATAAAGGTAAGCACATGTGCAGTGAATGGGATATAGCCAGTGTTGCAATGCAGCTGTTTTATACAAAGTTGGACTAGTTTTAGAAGTCAATAAGCAGCTGTGGGCAACACTGGTTACAGTTTCTTAAGTGATGAACGATTTAACGGAAGAGTTCTTGAAGACTATATTCATCACCCAAGACTGATGCCCTTCATAAAACAACTACCATTATTCTGCAATTGATAGAAAACTAACCTGACTTTCTTCTATTTCATGTTCCCGCCATCTTGCTGCACCATTTCCTAAATAAAGGTAAGCACACGTGTAAAATATGATTTCAAGTGTTCCAAATCTGATGAATGAATTGGCAGAAGAGTTCTTGAAGACTATATTCATCACCCAAGACTGAATAACTAGCATTCAATACCCGTATGCGATCTTTAAGAATGGATGCTAACCCACTTTTTTACTTGCAGACGTACGATGGCAACCTCTTCGCACCTCAATTGGTTGATCATTCGCAACAACAACGCCTTCTTGTTGAAGAAGCGTGATGTGAAGAAACCCTTCAGCACAGTAAGTGTATATCACTATCTCTCGGCTTAAGTAAAATTGCCTGCTGTTCAATGATGTTTCCAATTTATAAACTTTCACAATGATATTTGAATACAACATGATAGTAACAATAATCTGACAACACTGGCAAATAATTAATGAATCTTCGAGTAAATCGGCATGATTAACAAGTATTCTCTCAACTCCAAAGGAACCCAGCAACTTGGCCAATGTCAGCTCTTACCGCTACAGCGGCATTGTGCACAAGAAAACTCTTGGAGTTGTGCCCGCTGCCGACAAGAAGGGCTTTACTGCCGTCTTGAAGAAGGGTAAATATGGCCAGCGTCCCGCCAAGAATACGGTGCGTGTTAACTTCAAGTCTGGTCCCCGCCGTTCGCTGAAGAAGCTGAAGAACCTCTTGACGGGCACCAAGTACCGCAAGGATCTGACACAGGTATATAACTATATAATCAGATAAGGCTGATTCTCTATACTATGATGATATCTATATTTTTACTACTACACCAAGATCGCAGAATGATCGTGTTGAATATTCTTTCTGATTGCATTTTGTAATTTACTAATCATATTTGTTTCGATGGAATATTAATGAAAATCCATAAAATTTGTTTACTTGCAGGTAATGTTGGACATTTAGTTTAAACCTTCTACTTATGAATCCTTTCATGATGAAATCTATTTAAATACTACCAAGATCGCAGAAGTGCCGTGTTGATGAATCTTTTCTGACTCAACAATATTTATATAATTTCTATATTAGCTTGTAAATGAGCATATTTTAAATGTCAATTTGTCTACAGGCTGCTCTCCGTCGTGCATCTGCCGTTCTGCGCTCCCAGAAGCCCGTTCAGGTCAAGGCCAAAAAACCCGTTCAGGTTTCGTCCAAGAAGCCCGAATAAATGTATTTGATATGGGAAATTGAGGAGTTGTTTTCTACTCGAGAATAAAAAAACAAAAAAACACGTTAAACCCTACATCAACCGATTGAAAATGTTTTGTTTATGTGGATACAAATAGTAAAACAACTTTAATAATTATTATTAATTAATGAATATGGAAAATCTAAACTTATGTACAATTGCTACGGTTTGCCGATTATGTTCTCAATTGTAAAGAGCGTCGTAGTCTTTGATCTGTTGGAGTTGGATGCGGGCGTGTCATCGCCAAGCAATTCCTGCAAACCTTTGAATGCCGTGTCGTTTGATGGAGGCGTAAAGGCGCTCGGGGAATGTGGATCTTCGCTCGGGACATTGTCTGCTGCGCTCTGGTTGGTTCTGCTCGAGCACGGGCTGGGCGGAGGAATGGGCTCCTGCCGGGCTTCGTTGTTAAAGAGATTGTTGAAACCGAAAGACACCGATAGATACTGGCGATGCAGCTCCGTGATGCGATCCGAATAGTTGGGCCTCAGTGCAGCCGGATTGGCCTCGCCGCAGAATATATCAAAGTCGGCCAGCGAGTCGCCGCCGGGGGATCTGCTGATCTCGCCCATTGTGCTGCCGTCGTTGCTCGCATTGGAATCCTTCGGGAATATGCCGAACAGTTTACTTAGAGCAGAGTCTACGCTTTTTGGAGAAGAGACTTACCTTGCCCGCATCCCGGTCGTAGCGGCTGGTGCTGGCGCAGTGTCTTCTCCTGGTGCGGCGCCGTCGGTAGTTGCCCTGCTCGAACATGTCCGTGGCGGAGGCATCCAGCATCCAATAGCTGCCCTTGCCGGCGCTGTCATTGTCGTCGATCGTGTTCTTATCCCGCGGCACCTTAACGAAGCAGTCGTTCAGCGACAGATTGTGCCGGATGGAGTTCTGCCAGCCCTGCTTGTTCTCACGGTAGTAGGGAAATCTGAGTGAGAGATTCAAAATATTATAATTTATCGATTGTGTTTTATCAAATGCAATCGAAACCAATATATCGATCTAATTTAGGGCTCGAACCGGCTTCCTGCCTTGAGGTTCGGTTCGTGAAACTGGTTTTTAACATCCATTCATCAGGATTTGGTTCTTAGATTAGCTTGCAATATATTTTTATACCCTAGCGAGGGTATAATAAATGTGTAATGCATAGAAAGAGACTACTCCGACCCCATAAAGTATATATTCTTAATAGCCATGTCAGTCCGTCCGTCCGTCCGTCTGTCCGTCTGTTTGTCTGTTTCTATGCGAACTGGTCTCTCAGTTTTAAAGCTATCGTCATGAAACTCTAAGCCTCTCTTTCTGTTGCACGCACTACATGTATCAGAACCAGCTGGATCGGACCGCTATATCATATAGCTGCCATAGAAACGATCGGTCGAAAATGTGGTTCTTGTATGAAAAACTTTTTTGTTTATTAAGATATCTTGACCAAAATCGTCATTTATTTGTTTTTATATGCTATCCATATATATGCAAAATCCCATCAACATCGGACTACTATATCATATAGCTGCCATAGGAACGATCGGTCGAAAATTAACTTGTTCTATGGAAAACTTTTTTGTTTTCTAAGATATCCTGATCAAGCTCGGCATTTATAAGTTTCACGTTGTTCCCTATATTTATGCAAAATCTCATTTATATCGGACCTCTATATCATATAGCTGCCATAGGAACGATCGGTCGGAAAGTAGGTTCTTGTATGAAAAACTTTTTTGTTTATCAAGATATCTTAACCACACTCGCCATTAACTATTTTCCCTATACGAGCAAAGCATTATGAAAAGGTTGAATCTGCAAGGGTATTAAATCTTCGGCGTGCCGAAGATAGCCCTTCTTTCTCGTTAAAATTGAATGAAACTTTTGCCTACTTAATTTTTAACTGCCCGTTCTACTGAAAATATCGAATGTTTTTAAATATTTTCACAGAGACTAGCCGGGCTACATTTAATTGGCATCTGCCAAATATAGTTAGATACGTGCAATAGTTGGGGGACAAGTAATTTATGGCTTAGAGCTGGGTCTAACTGAAAGGTTTCTTATTTTGAACCTTAATATTTTGGAAAACCAAAATAATTCGGGTTTCTTACAGTTGTAACCTGGGAAACTGCTTTCAGATTAAAAAATAAATTAAGCTTTCAGCCTTGATTCAATATAGGTGAAAGGATGTTTGGTTTATCGACCCAAACTGGAAACGCGCCAAAATAATTGTACGTCAGATGTTAATTCAAAATTTTCTGACATCTCGACTTGTTTATGTACAGAAATTATATATATTTATTTTCAACAGATAATTTCCATAAATATTTTAATGGGAAGTAAAACACAAACATGTACATACATTAATACTTTTTCTGGGCTGTAAACAAAGCATTCGACAAGTCCATTTCACGTCTAACTACTTTAAGGTTAGGCGTTTCATATAGAGGGTATATTATACATATGTCACGAAATGTAACGCATAGAATAAGATGTTAATGAGCCTATAATATATATATTATTGATTAGTATGAACGGACAAAAGGACATTCTTTCAGTTGCAATTCATGTAGCTAAAGATTGGTCGAAAATTAATTATAATTTTTTTGGAGATATCTTTACCAAAACTTGGCGTCTACGAGTTTTAATGTGTTCCTTATATATGTGTTCCCTATCATTGTATGATTTGGTTTTCGAGGAATCGATCAAAATATAAGTTAGCCTGTTTATCAAGAAATCTTTTCCATACTCTTTCTAAAAAAGACTTCTATGTGAACTGGCTTTTTATATCCTGAACCCATTGAAAATGGGTAAAGGGTATAATGTATTTGTGCAAATGTATGTAACAGGCAGAAGGAAGCATCTCCCACCACATAAAGTATATATATTCTTGATCAGCGTCAACAGACGAGTCGATCTAGCCATGTCCGTCTGTCCGTCCGTTCGTATTTATGAACGCAAGGATCTCAGAACCTATAAGAGCTAGAGACTTGAAATGTTGGCTGTAGGTCCTCCTAG